TTTCATGTTGTGCCACCGTAATTGTTACACTTTTCCAAAATAACAAAACACATCTAATTATTAAATACCACACACAAATAAACATAAATTTTTGATTTTATTATGTTTTACTTTTCAAGACCTTCAGTAACCTCTGGTTTGTTAAGTCTGGGGTTTACTCTCAGTTATCTTCTTTATCATTCAACAGTATTTGACACAATTAATCACTCCTTTGTTTTAGAAATAAATTTTCACTTGGCTTCAAGGATACTGCACTCTACTATTTGCCCTCTTCTCTTATTGCTGCTGCTTCTCAGTCTCCTTTGCTGGTATCCCCAGCTTCTCAGCATATTCACTCCCTAAGGTAATCTCATCACTTTTGTCGCTCCCAAATATGTATCTCTAAGCCAGACCTATCCTGTGAACCTGTGTCTGGTATCTACCCAACATCTCCACTTGTATGCCTAATAATCATTTAGAATGTAATATACCCCAAAACCAAACTCCGTATCTTCTCCCTTAAGTCTATTTCATTGATATTTTTCTCCATCTCAGTTACTAGCAACACCATCCTTGCAGTAGTGCATAGGCCAAAATTTGGTCATTTTTGACTTCTCTTTTCTTCTCACAACTCACATCTACTCTGTCAGGAAATCCTTTTGATTCCGTTTTCAAAATAGATACAGAAATGACTGCTTCTATATCCATAACTGTCATCCTGATCTGAGCCACCATGATCTTTCATCTGGATTATGGTCATAGTCCCTTAACTGGTTTCTTTGCTTTTACTCTTGTCCCCCTGAAGTATGTTCTTTTCACAGTACATGGTAACCCTTCTAAAATATTTCAAATTATGTGACTTCTCTGCTCTTCTCTGCTCAAATCTTCTAGTAGCTTCCCACTTAGAATAAAAGCCCAAATACTTATTGTTCTACAGAGATCCTATAGATTTGGCCTTTCATTATCTATTGGACTTTTTCTGCTTGATGTACTATTGTAGCATTACCCTTCACTGTTCCTTGCATATGCCAGGTGCACTTCTGCCTCTGGATGTGTGAACTGGCTAGATATTCTTTTCTTTAAAGAATGCTTTTATGTGCTTTAGGTGAAAGTTTACATAGCAAATTTGTTTACCCAGTCAATAGTTGATATATACGTTGTTCCATGACATTGGTTTGTCCTTTTGTGTTTGACATATTTTACTCAACATGGTGTCCTCCATATTCATCCATGTTATGTGATATTTTGTAATTACTCTTTTTGGTACCACGGTATTCTATTGTATGTGTGTACCATAGTTTGTTTATTCATTTATCCATTGATGGGTGTTTAGGTTGTTTCCATCTTTTTGCTTTTCTGAATAATGTGATGAATGTAGATGTGCATATAACTGTTTGTGTCACTGTTCTTACCTTTCTAGGAAAGATACCTGCTGGATCTTACAGTATTTCTATTTCTAGCTTTTTAAGAAATAAAATGGTATGCCCTACCATACCATTTTCAGCAGAGCAATAGCTCTTCATGAAGCTTTCTATACATAGTTTTCTGTTAGGCTCGGCCTCTGTTCTGATACTGAATTTAATTTCATTCCTGTGCTTTTGCCAGCCATGTCAGAATCACACACTATCTGTCAGTCGGACTTTTGCCTTGTATAAGTGCTTATCTACATGTGTCTGCATATAGTTGCCACATTAAGTAATGAGAATAAAGTGGTGAACAAAACAGATGTGGTTTCTAACCTAATAGATGCATGTACCAAGAAGATTTAATGTAGTACGGGGATTATGTATCATTGCTTAAAGATGGAACAGCCTTGATAAACCCCTAGGCTTTGAATTGAAATCTTAGAAGGACCATTCCCTAGGAGACAGGATAAAACTGAAATAGATCATCTCCAGGAAAGCCTAAACCCAGACTAATCTTCCTGTACTCTCTCTTTTTCCAGAAGAAACCTAATATTCTTAGAAGATAGCATGATCTAATGCCTCAATTTTTCATTTATTTAGTTTGGCTTCTAATAATAAATTACAAGGCATGCTAAAATAAAAACAAAAACAAAAACAAAAAAATAACAGGAATGTATCCTAGATATGTATCTTCCCAAATAATGAGATGTGCACAAAATTATTCATCAGAAAAGTTTTCATATTAGCAAAAATACTGGAAATATTCAAGGACATTGATAGAGGATTGGTTAAATAATTATCTGTTTTCATGTAATGTAGTATTTTTCACACAGGCATTATTGGCATTTGGAACTGTGTGTCTTATACTGCCCTGACAGGATATTTTATATCTTTTTACCAGCCTAGTAACTACAAGTTATACCTCCATGGTTTGAGATAACCAAAAATGCTCCTACACATTCTCATATACATCTGTGATGGGGCATTCCAGTTGGAAATCATTGATATTATGGAATTTTGTGCAGCTATAAAGAGAAGGAAAGAGAGAGACCAGGGTGGGAGGTGAGAAGAAAGCTGATTTATAAATTGATAGGAAAATACCTGAGGTCATTTGATACGGTTAAAAGGAAAATGCAGGGTAGAGCTGTAAGTATAGTTTGCTATTTATGTGAGAAAGGAGGAAAGTAAAAATAGATATTTGAATTGTTTACATGTACATAAAATTCTGTATTGTTACATAAGAAACTAGTGAAAGGAATTATATTACCTGTGGGGTCTGGTGGGCAAAGAGAAATGAGAAATGGGGTGCAAGAAATACTTTTACTGTTTACCTTTTTATATTGTTTTGATTTTAAAAGTTTTATTTATTTTCTTATTGTTGATGAAATATATATATAGCAAAACTATATACCATTTCAACCATCTCTACATGTACAATTCAGTGACTGATTACATTCTTCGAGTTTTGCAACCAATCCTACCCTTCTTTTCTGAGTTCCTCCTCCATTAGCATATACTCATTCCCCCTTAAGGTTCCTGTCTAATATTTCTAGTTGCTGTTGTCACTTTAATCCCATATAGATAGTTCTTAAAAGAGCATAATGCTCAAGACAGACTTTTTTTATTAGTTAAGCTGAACTATTGTTTGATTTTAAGAAGACTTTAGGGGTTAACTTTGGTTTTTAAATTTAAATTTTTGTTTTAAAGTTTACACCAGGGCAATGATTTCAGAAAGTCGGGAGTCCATCAGAGTTTGCAATTGTGTTCTGCATTTTCCTTCTTTGCCTTTGGATTCTTCTGTAGATCTTTGATCAAAATGGTCAGCAATGGTAGCTGGGCACATCTAGTTCTTCAGGTCTCATGGCAAAGAAATAAGTTGTTCATGGAGGTCATTAGCCACACAGTGCCATATCTTCCTTCTATTCTTGACTTTCCTTCTTCTTCTCTTGCTACAGGTGAATAGAGACCAATTATTGTGCCTTAGACAGCCAATTTCAAACTTTTAAGACTCCAGGCACTAAGCATTAATCCAGGAGGTAGAACAGAAGCACGAAATATATTATTAGACCAATTAACTGGGATGTCCCATGAAACCATATGTTCTAAACCTCAAACTAAGAAATTAAATCTCCCAGGAAGTTTTTGGTTGTCCATACATAGTCTTAGCAGCTAAACTTTTTTTTCTTACTTTTAAAATGTGAATATAATACCTGTTCAGAAATTTTAAAAATAAAATTGAATTTTAGAAATAAGTACTCTGTTTGTTAATGTAATAATTTCTGAGATTCATTTAAAATTTATGTATTGATTAAAAATATGTTTTGGGCTTTTTCAAATCTTGTCTTTCTTTTTTTTTACCTTTACTTTTATTCAGTGGAGTAGGGCGAAACTGGGGCTGGGCATCTGCAGGTAGCAGCATTCTGGCTGAATTTGGTACCCTACATATGGAGTTTGTCCACCTCAGCTACTTGACTGGGGATCCGGTTTACTTCAAAAAGGTTAGTGTTCCCCTCTTCTTTTCTTTGTTTGCTATTAAAGAGCCCTTTTAAATTTATTAAAATCTTAATTTCTAAGCCTTGAGTAATGCTTAGAAATTATTTATCTTTTTGGAAATAGGTTTATCAGGAATGTTTGTTTTTAATCCCCAAAAAAGTTCTTTCTATTGAGAACCTATTTAAAATATATGACAAATTTAAACCACTATTAGGTTTTTAAAAAATTCCATTGTCATTTCTATAAGCACTGTCCTGAAGTTCCTTGCCAGCATGGTAATACAAGAAAAAAAAATGAAAAAGATTTAAACATTGGAAAGAAAGCAAAAACACAGTAAATATTTTATCAATTTTATGATTACCTAAAATATACCTATATTTAAATTACTAAAAATAACAAGAGTTTAATGTGGTTTTTGAAAAAAAAAAAGTCAGTATAAATAATAAAAATCAGTAGCATTTTTTTTCCTGGACCAAATACAAAAGACAAAAAAGTTACCATGTTTAAAAAAAAATACCTTATGTAGTGGTAACAAATGTGTAAGATTGCTACAAATCTAACAAAAGGTGAATCAAAGTAAAAACTTCACTAAAGAAGATCAAAATAAATATAGGAATGTGTATGATCATGTATAGGTAGACAATATTGTAAAAATTTCAGTCATCCTCAGGTTGGTCTGTAGCATTATATCAAATGCCAGTCAGATCTTAAAAGACTTTTTATAAAATGGAATTTAACAAGACACTTATAAAATTTATATAGATAAGATACATTTGAGATATTCCTGAAGAAAAACAGTATGGCTATATATGTGCTACCTAATTATCAACACTGACAGTGGGATATTGGTACATAGAGACAAATAAATGGATTAACAGAATAGATAGCCCATAAAAAGATCCATATATTTTTAAGAAACTTGTTATAACAAAGATAGCATTATAGATTACAACAGATAACTCCTGGAACATTAAAGGCTTAAACGTAAAAGGTAAAACTTAGACATTTTTAGAAAGAGAAAATAACAAAACACTTATACCCTTGGAGTACGGAAAGATTTTTAAACCAGAAATGAAAAATATTGTCTGGTAAAGTTAAAAATACACATAAAGTTAAATAGAGCAGTGAAAATTAATTAATTATGATTATATTCATGAGTTAAAATTGTATTACTTTTATGAAGCACAAAACAAACAGTACCGAAAACTATATGACTTAGGAATTCAAAGGGGTTTTAACAAAGTCAAGAAAGTGACAAACACTGAATTGAAGACTGTGACTACATTTAGGCAGTGATCTGTGTAAAGTTTCAAAAGTGTTTGTAGTATTATATTTCTTAAATTGGGATGTGAATAGAATGTATATGTATATTCCTTCCTGTGTAGGACGTTTTATTAAAAACAAAGTAGAAAAATAAGAATTTTCAGATAACGACAACAAATGGTCTTTGAATTTGTTAGAATTTGTCTTTCTCTAACTAAATGAACAATAACAGTAAAAGTAGTGAAAACCAGAAATTCATCAGCAGCCATGAAAGAAGTAAAGTCTGCAGCTGAGTTATTTAAAAATCAGAACTCTTTTCCTACCACCATCAAAAAAAAGGGGGATGTAGGTTCTGAGTGAAGAAGAAACAAAAATCTACATTAATACCCAGCTTTGATAACATTTATTTTTGTTAATTGCTTTCTTAATTTTATTATGTTTAGGTCATGCACATTCGGAAACTGCTTCAGAAAATGGATCGTCCAAATGGTCTTTATCCAAATTATTTGAACCCGAGAACAGGGCGCTGGGGTCAGTGTAAGTATCTCTAGCACCACTGATGCTTTGTTAAAAGATTTTTTTGTCTGAAATTACTTGCTTAACGTAGTGAAAAGTGTACTGTTTATAGAATTATAAACCTTCAGTTTATGTCAAATCCTGTGATCTACTGATGCTGTTACCTTTGACAAATTTCTAATCTCTAGAAGCTTTAGTTTTCCCAGTTGTAAGATGGAAACTGATAATCTGTTACACAAGAGTGTATTATTTCATATATGTATAATAAGTACTTTAGAAAAATGTAGTATGGCATTTGGGAAAGGTAGTGCTTTAAATCCCTGTTAATAAATCATATCATCCTGTAAGTAAGAGCATTGTTTGATGCAGACTGCACTAGAGATTACAAGGACTATAATATTTATAGTACCTTCATAGACTGGTGCCCAGAAGCCCTTTTCCTTCTCTGTTCCTACTTGACCCCAACTGTAGTCAAATCAGTGCAGCTTTTAAACAGAAGACACTATTCTTTGTCTAGTAAATTGACTAAGGATAGGGACATTTCCTTGTACCAACTGATTCAAAGAGGCTTGAAAATTTGTATGCCCTTTAGGACAAAGTTATGAAAACATCTAAGTCATACCAAATACCTTGAGGGAATGAGTGGTTGGGTATGGAGGCTCAGGACCATAGTGTTGAGACACTAAGATCAATTGGCATAACATAGTTTATAAGGACTCTATTCTACATCTTACTTTGGTGAGTAGCAGTTGGGGTCTTAAAGTTTGTGAGTGGCCATCTAAGGTGCAACTACTGATCTCTTCCCATCCAGAGCAAAGAACAGTAAAGATGCAGGAAAAAGTTAGTCCAAAGGAATAATGGAGCACATGAACCCCAGCCAACACAATCCTGAGACCAGAAGAACTAGATGGTATCTGGCTACCACTGTTGACTCCTCTGAGAGGAATCACAGTAAGAGGTCTCAGACAGAGTGGGGGAACATGTAGAATAAAACTCAAAATCATAAAAAAGACCAGGCTTACTAGTATGATGAATACAGGTAGGACCCCTCCAAGGCTATGGCTCTTAGATACACTTCAAGCTGGAACTAACTTAATGCCCATGACTCATCTGTCACCCAGATGATAGGTAGGCCTGTAAGGTAAACAGTAATAGCAGGAGGATATTGATTGTTCATTAGAACAATCAAGCATATGAGATCAAAAGGACAGCATTTGCCTAGGGATAGAGCTAGGAAGGTGGGAGAGGATGAGAAGGAAGGAAAAAAAAAGGGGATGGGCACAGGGAGGAAGTGGGAAGAATGCTGTTACAGTGTGGGGATTGCAGTAAATGTCACAAAACAGAATGTGTGTGGGTTGTTGAATGGAAAGCCAGTTTTCTCTGTAAACTTTCACCCAAATCACAATATAAAATATAAAAAAAAAAAAAGGAGGGTGATCCAAGAGAATATGGAAATTACCGAACCAATATAATTAATAGCCCACACCATAAAATTTTGCTCAAAATACTTGAGAAATGGTTACATTAGTACATAGACAGGGAATTGCCAGTAATTCAAGTCAGATTCAAAAGAGGATGTTGAACAAGGGATGTCATTGCTGATGTCAAATGGATCTTAGCTGAAGGCAGAGAGAACCAGAAAGATGTCTACCTGTATTTCATTGACTATGCAAAGGAATTCAGCATGTGGATCATAACAAATTATGGATAATGTTGTGAAGAATAAGAATTCCAGAACACTTAATTGTGCTCATGCGGAACCTGTACAAAGACCAAGAGGCAGTGATTTGAACAGAACAAGAAGTTTAAAATCAGGCAAGGTGAGTGTCAGGGTTGTATCCTTTCATCATACTTATTCATTCTGTATGCTGAGCAGTTAATCCGAGAAGCTGGAGTATATGAAGAAGGATGTGGCATCAAGACTGGAGGAAGACTCATTAACAACCCATGATATGCAGATGACACAACGTTGTTTGCTGAAAGCAAAGAGAACTTGAAACACTTATTGATGAAGCTCAAAAACTATAGCCTTCATTACACCTCAACATAAAGAAAACTACAATCCTCACAACTAGACCAATAAGCAACACCATGATAAATGGAAAAAAGATTGATGTTGTCAAGGATTTCATTTTACTTGGATCCACAATCAACACCCATGGAAGCAGCGGTCAAGAAATCCAGCGACATACTGCATTGGGCAAATTGGTTGCAAACGACCTCTTTAAAGTGCTGAAGAGCAAAGATGCCGCTCTGAAGACTAAAGTGCTCCTGACCTAAACTATGGTGTTTTCAGTCACTTCATATGCATGAGAAAGCTGGGCAATGAATAAGAAAGACAGAGGAAGAGTTGATGCCTTTGAATTATGGTGTTGACAAAGAGTATTGATTATGCCATGGACTGCCAGAAGAACGAACAAATCTGCTTTGGATGAAGTATAATCAGGATGCCTCTTAGAAGCAAAGATGGTGGTGAGACTTTGCCTCTCTTACTTTGATCATGTTGTCAGGAGAGACCAGTCCCTGAAGAAGGATATCATGCTTGGTGAAGTAGAGGGTCAACGAAAAAGGGGAAGACCTTCAATGAGATGGATTGACACAGTGGCTGCAACAGTCAACTCAAGCAAAGCAATGGTTGTGAATATGGTGCAGGATCAGGCAGGATTTCATTCTGTTGCACACAGGACAGCTGTGAGTCAGAACTCACTCAGCAACAACCACATGAATCAGACAACTGGACAGTACTTCAACATCAAAAGTATGCATGTGGTTGAGGATATATAGTAGTTAATAAGGCAGAAAAACTTCTGCCGTCTGGAGCTTAGATTCCAGTAGGGGATAGAAAATAAAAATGTAAACAAGGGAAAATTGACTAGTTCGAGAGACTGTTAAAAGCTTTGTGAAAAATGAAACTGGTAATATGCTAGAGAGTGGCAGGGAAAAGAGGAGAAAAGAAAACTTTTCTGAGGATTGAACTTTCACCATGTGTTTTACTTAAAGTTCTGTTGAGAAACTGAAGAGACCTAATTTTAGCCACAATAGCCTTTTCTTCAGGAAAGTAATCTCTGACCTTTCTGACTATGTGCTACTCTTTATTTCACATTTATTGGGTGATTATTTAATTAATGTCCTACTCACCCAAGGACCATGTTGTATGAGAACAAGTTCAGAGTCAATGTTTGCTTTGCACTCCATCCAGGCACCAACAGTGAATTTGCTTGTCATAGGGGTTCAGTGAAGAAAAAAAAAAAAAATGCATGCTCTTTGAACCAGTGACTCGTTATTGGGAACTTATTCCAAAGATATCATCAGAGCTATATATAAAAGTTTATTTACAATAACTTTTAAATTATTTTAATAGGAATTATTTGGATTCTAAAACTGTACTGTCCAATTTCTGTTATGATAAAAATGGTCTGTAGTTGTACTGTCACATACAGTAGTCACTAGCCATATATGACTGCTGAGTACTTGAAATGTGCTAGGAACTGCATTTTAAATTTCATTTACTTTTAATTAAACTTAAATAGCTACCTGTAATAGTGGCTATTGCATGAAACAGCACAGTTTTTGAACATAAGACTGGGTAATCTACTTCCATAGAGATACCACCTTGGAAACCCAAGGAGAGGTTGCTGTGAGTCAAAATTTACTTAACAGCAGTGAGTTTGAATTATACTAGAGATTTGGTTAAATTTTAATGCTACCTCCAAATGTCATTAAAAGTGATGCTATAGAATACTTGATACAGACAAATATATATATGGAAAGATATTAAGGAACCCTGATGGTTCGGTAGTTAAGCACATGGCTGCTAACCAAAAGGTCAACAATTCAAACCCACAAGCTGCTCCACAGAAGAAAAATGTGGCAGTTTGCTTCCATAAAGATTACAGCCTTGGAAGCCACACAGGGCAGTTCTACTCTGACCTGTAGGGTTACTTTGAGTCATGATCGACTGAACAGCGGTGGGTTTGGTAGAAAGATACTTACAGAGAAAACAAGCAACCAGAGTTTATCTGTAGTTTTCCAAAGTTGTGATTTGTGGTATTTTTATATTCTTATTATTTTCCTTTATTATTCAAATTTGATGATGAACATGTATTACTTTTAAAGTAAGATTAAAAGCATTTTTAAATAAAGAAGACAGTAACATCTGCTACACCAAAATCTTATAATACAAAAAAAAAAAGTCACTGAGAATTTGCAAGCTTTGAAATGATCAATAGTATAACATTGATGGCAACTTAATTGTTAAGAAGACAACTCTACTAATCTCCCCTGTTCCCCCACCCCAAAATAAGTTCAGGTTACTTCTTTATAATGTATTCACTCTCAGAAGTTACTGGCTTTGAGTATATTATATAAAGAGCTATTCACTAGTTGCTTTGGTAAGAGGTCTTTAAAATCCTAGAGGAGCTGCTCTAATATCCCTTTAGCAGCTGCAGTCCTTACTAAATAGTTCATTTTGTTCCTTTTAATGTTTTTGTACATTTTATTTCAGCTTCTGAAAAGTATATCAAATTCCTTTATTATATTTGATCATTATACATCTGCCATATCTATAAAAAGCCTGCAAAACAAACAGTGAATTCAACAGAAATTTAACAATTTCAGCTTTGGCTAACTGTATTGTAATTAGAATAATGATAATGTCTATGACATGCATATAGCAATCACAGAGAATAATTACTGGTAATTACCTTCAGGAAAAGTACTTGGCAAAAGATATGAAAGATTATTCTAAGGAACTTAGATTTAAAGAAACATCCTTAGTTGTTTTTTTTTTTTTTAAGTTTTCTAAGTACAACACTTAGCTTATGCCATTTTATGATTAAAGAAAATGTAGAAAATCAGTTGCTACTGATAACATTAAATTTTATACTTCGAAGTTAAAATTGTGGGGAAAACGAGAATGAGTGTAATACTTGAGTTAGAAGCCTTAAGTTCTAACCCTGGCTTTTGTTCAAGAATTCCCTTGAAGAATAATTTAAGGAATAAGTTCTGTTAGAAACCTGCCA